CCCCCAAGACCCTGTATGGGGGCCATCACCAGCTGCCACTTGAAGACAAGACCCTGGATTGCAAGGAACAAGCCCGCGCCCTTTCAAAACCCAAGCACAAGCCCTCTCCTCCAGCCCCAATGGCACAGAAAAAGTTTGAGTTTTGGGGTCAAAAAGGGGTCCAATTTCCCGGCCAGACGCTTTCTAAGGATGTGACCCCAGAGCAAGTCACTTCTCCACCCTGGAAACTGGGATGTTAATACACCCCCTGGAAACATGGTGGCCAGGATGCAAACAGATCTGCACCGGGCTAGGGGGAGCCTCTGTCCAGGCCCTCTCAGCCCTCCCGGTCCCTGGCACAGGCCCCCACCTCCAGTCAGTCCTGAAGCTGGAGTCCTCTGGGTGTGCAGAGAGGGGGGCCCCAACCCACAGAAAGTGGGGGTTGGGGGGGCGCTGAACTTTCGAACCCGCAAACCCCCCGCGCCGTTCATTACCTTAACACGAGTTAAAAATAACCGTCTCATCTCTTTAAATTAGTCTGTCTGCAATTACCGCCTGGCACGGCGCTGCCCGCCATCGTCCCGCTGGAGCGGCGCCAGGTGGCAGGCGGGGCCCTCACCCTGTCTGTCCGTCTGTCTGTCTGCCTGCCTCCCCATCTCTCCTTCTCCCCGCAGCCACCCCAGGGGCCTCCCAGGAGCACCCAGACTCGGGAGCTCCCCAAGTTGCGCAGGGAGGGGGCCGGGCCTGGGGCTGGCTGGCGGGAGCGAGGGGGCCTGCGTGTGTGGGGGGCGGGGGGGGGGGGGGGGGGGGGGGGGGGGGGGGGGGGGGGGGGGGGGGGGGGGGGGGGGGGGGGCGCCGGAGCAGGGCGGCGGGGGAGGGGCGCCGGGAGGCCCGGGAAGCCGGAAGGGCCCGCAGCGCGCCAGCGCTCGTGGGTGGGTGTGAGCAGGTGGCCGTGGGAGTCTGCCGGGCGTGCCAGCAACTGTGCCAGGAGCGGCTGGCGCGGGCTCGTGCCCAGGAGGCGGGCAGCTGCCAGCCCCCCGCTCGTGCACGGCGGGGGGTGAGGACACCCCCCAACCGGGGCTCACACCGCCTCCTCCGGCACCCCCACCAGCCCTTGGGGCTGGGGATCCCCGGAGGACAAAGAAGGAGGAGGGAGCCCTGCTGGAGCAAGCTGGAGGGGGGAGAGGAGGGGGAGCCCTCTGCACTCACAGCCACTGCTCAGCCTGGCTGTAACAGGACCCTCCTCTTGGCCTCTGGATCAGTCCCTCCTTGCACCCCACCTAAGACCTACTGGCCAGCATGGGCCAGATGGGGGTAGCACCACCCCTCCTGATCCCATCCCCCAACCGCAGGGCTGCTCCAGGCCCTGAGGGAGAAGGGAAGTCCCCATCCACTGTGCTCCTCCCCCATCAAGCCTGGGGACAGGAATGGGAGGTGCCCAGGCCTGGCCTGGGAGCTCCCAGAGGAGCTGGCAGCCAGGAAACACAAAAGCAGGCTGAACAACTCCAGGGGCGCTGAGTGGAAGGAGCACCCAGGACCCAGAGCAGTCTGGAAGGCTTCCTGGAGGAGTCCTGTGCTAGGGAAGGTGGGGCTGGAGCATCGGGAGGAAGTGGGAGGCTCTACCCGGCTGTCTGACATCCACACTTTTAAGACACTGAAGAGGGAGGGGAACCTCCTGTCCAAGCCCTCATCCAGGGCCTGGAGACCCTCTGTCCTGAGAGAAACACTACCAGGCTCTTTGGTGGAGTTTCCAGCACCAAGGCCAGCCTGTCTGCAGGCTTCAGCCTGTTGGGGGTCCTGCACCTGCTGCTGATCTGGCCTCCTGTTCCCATCCGCAGCACCTTTGACTACCTCCCCACATCACAGGTGGGACCACAGGGCAAAAGCCAAGCACATGGGCCCTTCCTGATCTGGCCCACTCTGCCTTTCCCATGCCACCTCCCTGCCATCCCTAGCAGCCGCTGGTTCCAGCCTGGCCCGCCCAACCCTCTCCTCTCCTACAGTTCTACCTCCTTGCCTTTGCATCTGCAGTCAACATCCCTTGAGAGACTTTCTTCCAAATTCTACCCCCCAATGAAGACAGCCCAGATCAAGTGCCACCTTCTCTGTGTGGGTTTGCCTGGGCTCCCAGGGGGTCTAACCTGCCTTCCCTGCACCCCTGCCCCCCACCTCCGGCCCTTCCTGCCTGGGTGTGGAGGCCTGATGCCTTCCCCTTTGGTCCCCCACCCTCCATCTAACACAGGGTTTGGTGTACCCCCGGGATTCAGGTGCAACACTTATGGGGGGGGAAGGGGGGAGAGGAAAAATGGGCCCAGCCCTGGCACCTGAGGTGTCCCACAGCCTCTGCTAACACACAGGCTGGCTGGGAGTTGGGGATGGTCCCTCCACCCGCTCCCTGGAGGGACTGAATGGGAATGGGGGCAGGGGCAGGAATGAGAGGAGGAAAAGGATGGGGGGTGGGGTAGAATGAGGACAGCCACTGACCGAATAAGATGGGAAAGGCCAGAGGCCCCTCTGAACAGCCCTCCTCCAGTGCCTGGGTGGTCTCTGCCAGGGCCTGGGTCAGGAGCCCAAGCCTCAGGCTCCCTCTCCCATGCCCCAGCCCAGGGCCAGCCTGCCAGCGCGCCTTCCTCCCTGAGCCAGGTGCAGGGAGAACCAGTGTGTCCCCGGCAGCGTGGTGCCGTGGACACCACTTCCAGTGGGCAGGCAGGAGACCTGGGTCACCGTCCAGCACCTGCCACTCACCAACAACCTGAGGAGTTCCAGCCCCTTCCGGGGCCTCAGGCTCACCGTCCAAGAAATGAAGTCCAGGGACTAAATTATCTCCAAGCACATTCCCAGTCACATTCTAGGATTTAGACCTGCCCCTGTTCAAAAGCTGTCTGTGTCCGCCTCCCACACCCAGTGCCAGCAGGACACTATTCCGGAGGCTAGGGAGCGGGGAGGGGGCTTTGGCGGGAGACACACCTGGATTGGAGTCCAGTTCTCCCATCTACCGACTGCGTGACCTTGGGCAGTTCACGCCTCCACTCTGCGCCTCAGTGCCCAGCTCTGTAAACGGTGACAGTGAAACCTACCTCAGGGACTGCTGAGAGCATTAAGGAGACACCTGGCACAGATGCCTGAAGGTGGCTGACACCTAGCACCTAGCAGCCCCTGGACGCCTTGGTTTGGCCCTGAGACCCTCAGGAACTGCAGGTCTCCCTCGGCTTCCGGTCTCACGTCTCCCCTTGCCATCTGCCCCCACCATTCCTGATCCCTCAAGCTCAGGTGGGGCTCCACCTCCTGCAGGAAGCCCTCCTGGCTTACTCTGGCCCACAGTACCCTCCCCAGCCTCAGCATCCTCTGCACCAGCCACCCGTTCCTTCACACTCTCACCAGACATGCGCCAGTGGCTCCTCAGTGCCAGGCTCTATGCTGGGCGCCGTGGGCACCGAGATCGCTCTGCCACTGCCACTGTCTTCTAATGGGTGGGTGGGGAGGGGAAACGAAAGAGGACACAAAAGACTGAGCCCTATGACAGTCAGGGAGAGGGCCAGGGAAGAGGGAGCCCTTAGCTAGCTAAAAAGGGTCAGGGAAGGCTTCCTGGAAGAGGCATCTGAACTCTGTGCTCTTGAGGACAAGAAATATATCTACAGGGAGAAGTGAAAGGTGGGACAGTGCATGGGGCCAGGGAGGGAGGTGGGAGCAAATCCCAAGGGCAGTACCCACTTAGGAGGAGTAAGTGTTCTCGTGGGGGCTGAGCCCAAGGAGACTGGAGACTCATGGGTGCTCCTCCAACCTGTGCCTCCACCCCATAGTGGCCAGAGAGAGACAGACATGACGCCAGCATGAAGCCTGAGAGCCAAGGGCCCCAGGTCAGAGCACCGTGGCCCCTACAATGCAGCCACTGGGCAACCAGAGCTGCTCCTGTCCACCAGCCTCCCCTCCTCCTCTGGCACACCTCCTTCCTCTGACCCTGTCTGCAGCCACTACCAGGCATGGCTCCCTCCCTCCATCTAGGCATACCTCCCTTGCAGAGACCCCTCACCCATAGGAAGCCTAACAGCTCACAGGCCCTAGGCACAGCCCCCACCCCCCAACCTCCTCCTCCTCCTCCTGCAAAGGCATCGACTATCCCCATTCCCCAACAAGATGGCCAGAGGAGGGTCCGGAGGCCACAATCCAGTCAAGCCCTTGTCCTCTCCCAAGATGGCTCCCCCCTTTCCACTGGATGGCACTGAGGCCTCCCAAGGGTGCCCCTGCCCCTCCCTTCACCCCCAAATGCATCTGGGCTCCGAAAGCCAGGGAAGGGGAAGCCAGACAGCCTGGGGTGGGAAGGGACAGATTCCCCAGCCCTCAGTACCCTGCCCTCACACCAGCAGAGGTCATCACCAGCCCACCATGCTGATCCAGGCAAGGGGGGATAGCAGCTGCCCCATGGAGAACTCAGATTCCAGGTCACCTGACCAGTTCCCCACCCCAGGCTTGCTGGTGCCCTAGGGTGAACTCTTGGCACCACAGGAAGAACTGTGAGCTCAGGGTCGCACTCCTTACCCTGGGGCCAGCTCCAGGGAGGGTAGTGGGAAAGATCTGGGGAGAAAGCAGGCACTGGCCCCAGGCCATTATTTCAGCTCTTTAAGGAGGGTGCCCCGGTGGAGAAGGTAAAACAAGAGTAACACACAAAGCAAACTCGCGGGGGCTAAGAGGGGGCCCCTTAATATCTGAGGCCTGGGAGTGGGTTCCTCTGCTATGCCGCCATGGACGGGGTGGGGGTGTCCCTCGGGGGTGCCTCAAAGTGGCAGTCCCTTGTCACCTCACCAGACCTCCCACCCTGCATCCAGAGCACGCACACAGCTGCTCCCAGCACGCCCCCGCCTGTCTGCCGCGCCAACCCCGCTCCCCGGGCACACACTCCGTGACCCCTGGGGGTGCCCCAGGGCCTCCCTCCCGACGGCTCCCCGGGAACCCGGACGCACCTAGCAGCCCCTGGAAGCCCTAGCCGGCGACCCCAGCTCCCCTCCCCAGCCGGACGCTCCCACCTTCCAGCCGGCCGAGCTGTTGCTGTCGCCTTTATCCTTGAAGTAGGGCACGTAACGGACCATCCAGTCGTAGATCTGCGAGAGCGTGAGTCGCTTGTCCGGGGCGCTCTCGATGGCTTTGGTGATGAGGTCGGCGTAGGACAGGTTCCCCCACGCGTTCCGCCGGGAGCTCTTCGCTTTCCGCAGCGGTCCGACCTCCGCGCCCAGCGGCGGCGCTGGGGCCATCGCCGGGGCCGTTGCCCGGCGCTCCGGCCCGCAGTCCTCGGCGCCCTCTGCCACCCCTGAACCCAGCGCTCCGTCCTCGTCGCCGGCCAAGTCGGGCTGCGGCAGGGGCCAGGTACACGAGCGCGGCCGGCTCTGCGGCGCGAAGTCCGGGTCCACGTCCACCTGATGCGCTCGCAGCTTCGCAGCCATGGTCCCGCCCGGCTCGGGCGAGGAGGGGAGGGAGACTCCGCGGAGGGTGGGCGGGCGGCTCCGGGATCTGCGCGCCCCGGGGAGGCCCGCGGGAGGGGTCCCTGGCGGCGCCGGCTCAACCGCGGGGCGCCATGGGCCGGGACGCGGAGACAGGGGGCTGAACGCGCTGGGAATCCCGAAGGGAGGGAAAGATGGGGGCAGCGAGGGAGCGGCGGCCCCGGAGCCCAGCGGGCACACACCTCGCCCAGCTCCGCTTCTAGCACCTGCCGCCTGCTTGCGCCTGCAGCCACCACCGCCACCGTCGCTGCCGCCGCTCCCCCGGCGCCGGCCCCGC